AACGATGTTACCGCTACACCATACCCGATGAGATCGAATGTGGTCCGATTGCTTGATAGGAATGACAATTCGAAGTGGGCTTTAACAAGGAGCTGTTCTTAAAGAGTTTTTTTGATGGGGTGTGGCAACCACATACCCCCTGTCCTCATGACCACCACCTCCACAGCCGCCTCCACCAGCATCCCCACCTTGGCCCTCTCTTTCCCACAGAACCCTCAATTCAAACGCACCATAAACATTAACAGGCAACATGGCCGAGCGGTCTAAGGCGCCACGTTAAGGTTCACCCTTAATTCCAATCTCAGGATTCCGTGGTCCGAAAGGGCGTGAGTTCGAATCTCACTGTTGTCAAGCATCAGCTACCCAAAGAGGTACGGCTTATCTTTCCCAGTTTTCGGGGACTGAATCTTTATTTTTTTGTCGTGTTTGGGGTGACAGCTAGACGTAGATAAGGTTGATAAACACCTCTCTTTGTATAATGTCAACCCCTAGAGCGGAAAATCGAGTAAGAAGTCCTACTAGGGTTGTTACCCTAAAGCCTCACCCAGCAGTTCTACAAAGGACCCAACAGCTGACTTAAGAAACAAGCAGTGGCAAGATAGCCAAGCGGTCTAAGGTGCCACGTTAGTGGCTTCAAATCTTGATATCATCACCGTCGAAAGTGCTTGCCAAATTTTAGATGAATGACAAGATGACTGCTGCTTCCTCAGATGGTCTCATGGCTGCTGCTTCTTTAATGGCCCGTCTCGGCTGCGTTACCTAAGGAAGCAATGCAACATCGAGGTTGCCAACCAACTGTGCAACCAGCTTAGGAAGGTGGCAGATGCGCCGTTGAGTACGACCTGAAGAGGACCACGATTGACATGCGGGGCATAAACCAGGGAAACGACCATCCACCATGTCAGGCAAGTGGCAGTGTCGTGAGACATCACTGTGCAACGTTGACTTGACGTGCGGGGAAGCAGTTAGCCTATCCGAGAAAACAACGAGAACAAGTTGGAGGTGCTGCTGTTTTTATCAAGCTTTCTCTCAATCTTGTTTACGTGTAAGTCCATAATCCTCTCGTTTCACCCTAACGTTGTGGTTGGCCTAGCCTAGGGTTGCTGACTTGCGAAGTTGCAGTCTTGAAAGACAATCGGCACTTTGAGCGTGAACACACAAAATGCGCTGGAAAGGCCTTTGGGTGATGGTCCTGCTGACTGCTGGGTTGCAAACAGGCCAGGCTAGAAAGCTGGTCTCATGCTCCGGCGAGACCGCGGCGATTCCCTCCTGGGATCTCCAGTCTTCAGCAGCAACTGGAACAGACCTTGGCGCACTATCCCGGGCCGGTGTTGATACCAAATCATGGTATCATGTCGGGACGTCCAAGTGCACCCTCATGGGATGCCTAATCGAAGCTGGGGTTTACAACGAGACCGATCTGTTCTACTCGGACAACATGCGCAGGGTTGATGCAAAGCAGTTCTCAATGCCCTGGATTTTTCGCAACGAGTTCTCGCTCGACCCTGGCCCAGGCCGATATTTTTCCCTGCAGACACATGGCATCTCGTCACGGGCTGACATCTTCCTCAACGGACAGCAAGTGGCCTCAGCTGCTGAGCAGGCCGGTCCGTTTGTTGGCAAGACATACGACATTACCAAACTTGTCAGCAAACAAAACGCCATTGGTATCCAGGTGTATCCAACTGACTACTATCGCGACCTTGGGCTGGGCTGGGTCGACTGGAATCCTTGGCCCGCCGACAACGGCACTGGTGTTTGGCGGGACGTTGAAATCAAACAAACGGGAGCAGTTCGACTGGACCAAGTCCGGGTTGTCACTGGACTCGGTGAACGACTTGGTGAGGAGCCGGCAAAGGTCACATTAAAGGCACTGGCGCAAAATCTAGAGAACTCACCAATCCAAATTGAGGTTATCGGGGAGGTTGCACAGATATCGGGGGGCTAAGGGCCGGCCGATCACTGGCACAAAGGCGCTCATTCTTCCGGCCCTCTCAGTCGTCAACATCGTCCTCGATATGATCGTCAATGAGCCAGCAATCTGGTGGCCGAAGCAATGGGGAGCGCAACCTCTTTACAACGCAAAGCTGACCGTCAAAACCGCTAAGAACGTGTTGTCTGATTTCACCGAGACCGAATTCGGTTTCCGCACCGTCACCTCCACTCTCAACGCTTACAACGACACCACTTTCCACGTCAACGGCCATCCCTTTCAAGTTCTCGGCGCGGGCTTAACTCCGGACATCTTCCTTCGCTGGTCACCTTCCCAATGGGAGAGGTCTCTCCGCTACATTCTCGACCTGGGCTTCAATCTTATCCGTCTCGAAGGCAAAAACGAGCACCCGGCACTTTACTCCCTCGCCAACCGACTCGGCGTCATGGTCATGGTCGGATGGGAGTGCTGCGACAAATGGGAGGCCTGGTCATACAACACCGACCTTCCCCTCCCTTCCGTTCCTCTCTGGACCGATGAAGACTATACCATCGCCCACGAAAGCATGCTCCACGAAGCCGCGATGCTGCAATCCCACCCCTCCGTGCTCACCTACCTCATCGGATCCGACTACTGGCCCGACGAGCGTGCCACCTCCCTCTACCTCTCCGCCTTCAAATCTGTCGACTGGCAAACCCCCATCATCGGCTCTGCTTCAAAACGCGGCTTCTCCCCGCAGACTGGGCCCTCAGGCATGAAAATGGAAGGACCCTACGATTGGGTCCCACCCAACTACTGGTTTGACACAAGCGACCCCTCCTCTCGCTACGGCGCCGCCCTCGGCTTCGGCTCCGAGCTCTCCGCGGGCGTCGGCACCCCCGAGCTCTTTTCCCTCCGCAGATTCCTCTCGCCCTCCGACCTCGACGACCTCTGGCGCACTCCTGACAAAGCCCTCTACCACATGTCACGCGAGACGTCAAAGTTTACAACCCGCGAAATCTACAACACCGCCCTGTGGAATCGGTACGGAAAACCGACCAGTCTGAAGGACTATGTGCTCAAGGCACAGGTGATGGACTATGAGGCGACGCGCGCCCAGGTTGATGCGTATACCGCGCTGTGGAGTGAGGAAGAGAGGCCTGCTACGGGAATGGTGTATTGGATGGGGAATAATGCGTGGCCGGGTTTGCATTGGCAGCTGTGGGATTGGTATGGGGAGGAATGGGGGCGTATTATGGGGCGAAGAGGCGTGGAGGGGGCGGTGTGGGATCCGGTGAGAAAGGCGGTTTGGGTGATGAATCGTGGGTTGGGGCAGGAGGGAGGAGGGTGGAGGTGGAGGTTTTGGGGTTGGATGGGAGGATTTTTTATCAAGTGGGGGTGGATGTGAGCGTGGAAGGGAATAGGAGTGAGAAGGTAGTTGAGTTGGAGAAGGTGTTGGAGGGTGTGACGGAAGTGGTGTTCTTGAGGCTGGTTTTGAGGAATGGGAAAGGGGGGTTGCTGGATCGGAGGGTGTATTGGCTCGCCAAGGAGGTCGATGTTCTGGAGTGGGAGGACTCAACCTGGTATTACACGCCGGTGAGCAACTACACGGACTACACGGCTCTGGGGAATCTCGAACTGGTAAATGTATCAATTTCTGCTGTTAAGCGCAGGGAAAACGAGTTTGTTATTACACTGGAGAACCAGTCTGAGGTTCCGGCTTTCTTCCTCAGGATCGGCCTTGGAGACGGGAGAGGAAATGACGTTTTGCCGCTGATCTGGGACGACAACTACATCACGCTTTGGCCGAAGGAGAAGTTGAGTATGATAGGTAGCGCAGTAGGATTTCGGAACTTGGAGCGTCTTTTTGCTAGGGCTGTGGGTATGAATGTTGAGGAGAGAACGGTAGAGGTGACTGGGCGGTAGTTACTGGTAGCCCGAAAGGAGGTTGACTTGCTCATCATGATCTAACGTTAACGGAAGAAGGGGATTTATGCTATTATGGCTTAGGAACAAACCGCCTTTGAGCTGAAGTTTGTTTTAGTCTAAATAAACACAGGATTTGGCTTAAAATGTGTAACTAGTGAAACTAGTAATTATTTGAGTCTTCTAGTCAGGTTTGTGTAGTTGACCAAGATAGCGTTTGGAATAGAATAGGTTGATTTAACTAACTATAACTTAACTAACAAGAGTGATTTAAATCCCCATGTTTGGTCAGCCGTTCAACTGAAGTGCATCTGGTGCATAATCACCCAAAGAGACCCTGGCAATCCCTCGGCCTTCAGCGGGACCAAATTGATCATGACCACAAATGTCACCCCGTGCGCTGTCACTCAACTCGACTTGTACAATAGTCACCTCGACCCTAAAGTCTGGTTTCCAAAACGCTAACACCGTCAGCAATGTCTAAGAGTTTGGGACATCAATAAAGACCCTCCTGCTGCTCTAACCTACGCCGCTTCAACTCGGATCTCGGCAAGCACTATTTCTGCAGCTTGGGCATTACTATGAATGAAGATTTGACTTAGTTATTCCACCGCAGTACATAGTACACTCGCCAATCTTTAATTTACAAAACAGGTTCAAATGATGAGCATTTATTCTTTCCCCTCTTCAGTGAGCCACACCAGATTGACCTAGGACCTCGACGTTTTGAAGCAGCAAAAAGGGATAAAAGGAGGGCAATTTTTGATGTGCCTATAGGTATTCTCAATCATTCTCAAAACATTTTGGCAAACACTTAGTTACTCTAAAGCACCCATTCCAACTGGTGATCCTCTTCAGAAGAACTAGAGAGACTGGGAGTTGAGGATGGTAGAGGATGGTCTTTGAGTTAAGTTTTCAGCCAAGAATATTGTTATCTGCTCAGATGCCTTGCTTTAAATATGCCAGCAGGCAATACACTAGAGGGAATCATCCATATCTAGTTTTAACCTCTCTCGAGTGCCACGGACTTGATGAGCCCCCTCAAGGCCCTGAGCAAATCGAGGGTTAGGACCCCTTATCCCCGCTTGCCCCTAACTTATGCTTTGCTAAAGAAGCCAAAGTTCTTATTTTAGTTTTCAATAACTCGGAAATAGCAGGAATAGGTCCGCTGGCTCAATGGCAGAGCGTCTGACTACGATTATGTAATCAGGAGGTTCCAGGTTCGACCCCTGGGTGGATCGTCTCGCGTTTCTTTTTGGGATTTTTACATCCCGATTCTCTTTCTCTTTCTTGCCCAACCAGCGCTGCTCACAGACAAAGTTATACTTCCCGGTCAATTCTTGTAATCCTGCTCTGATTCAGAAAAAATCAAGAGATGATCAGTCGAACCCATCGCGAGAGCCCTCTTTGCAGTCTATTTTGCTCCATCTTCTGGTGACCCATTACTCCCGGCCAGCCACCCTGCGATTCCAACAACTGCCCGCTCTCCCCACCCTGCGATTCCAACAACTGCCCGCTCTCCTGTCTATCAAGTTTACCAGCAACTCAAGTTCAATCTCTTAGCTCTCTTCTCCCTTCCCCTTATTTACCCTCTCCCTTTCCAACTGCTCCCTCACATCCAACCTCTTAATCACCCTCGCCGGATTTCCCGCCACCACCACGAAATCCTCCACATCCTTGGTCACCACGCTCCCGGCACCGACCGTCACGCCCCGCCCGATCGTCACGCCGGGGCACACCACCACGCTCCCGCCAAACCAGCAGTCCTCGCCGACGGTGATCGGCTTGCCGGACTCGGGCCCGCTCAGGCCGTTGCGCAGGAAGGGATCCGTAGGGTGCGTCGCCGCGTAGAAGCTGCAGTTGGGCCCGATGAGCGTGCGCGCCCCAATGCTGATGGTGCATGTGTCAAGGAAGGTCGCGTTGCTGTTGATGTAGACTTGGGGGCCGAATCTAGGGTGGATTAGATGGTGAGTGGGGGGTAAGGATGGGAGAAAAGGGGTGAAGCGTGACCTACTTGCAGTAGATGCCGTAGTCGAGCTTGATTGGTGCGTCAACGTAGGGGTAGGCGCTCAGGACTCGGTCTTCATCTTCTGGGTTGGCGGGTGGTGGGAGGGGGTTCTTGTCGCCGACGATGCTATGAGATGGGTTAGTGAGGGGTCAGGATAAATGAGGAGGATGTGCAATTCGTACTCGTTCCACAGCTCAACCAGTTTTCTCCTCGGCGCGCCAGCAGCCCATGCTTGGTTGTAACGACCGCAAGCCACTTTGGAGTGAGCGCGGTCTGCGTTGAGGTCTGGGGTGAAGGCCCAGTAGAGCTCACCAGCCAGCATGCGCCGACGGTTCTCGACGGGGGATCAACGTTGGTGGGGTCGGCGGCCATGGCTGTTGTTTTGTTGCAAGCAGTTTAACAGTGGATAATAGCTGGGGCTGGGTGCTTTGTTAATGTTAAGGATGAGAGTACTGTCATACGAGCGGTCAGTTCTTTAAATGCCCTGAAACGTGTCTCCAGCACCCAGCGGAGGAAGTGGAGAAGAGGCAACTCGGGCCTGGTTCCGCTCTGCAGCCCGCCGCCGCCGAGGTTTCGATGTCGGAGCTACCGGAAGTAACCTGGGCGGCCAAGGCATGTCCCGGCATCAAAGGCCAACGAGTGGTTTCGGTCCCGTCAAGCCGATGAACTCCTGTAAGCGGATACCGCATTTTCTCCATTCTTCTTCGCCTTGGCACGATGACGGACCACCCTTTGAATGATGGATCGTATCCGGGGAGGGTTCTTGGAGAATCCATGAGTCCTGGCCCACATCTCGGACCGATGCTTGCTCAATCAGATAGCACCATTTTGAGCCTGTCTCGCCTGGCCAGGATGAGCCTGTACTGTTTTTTGGCCCCCCTTTCACCGCGAGACCGTGAGGCAAAGTTGAGTGCTTCCCCAAGCCTCAGCTGTACCTTGGCCCCTGATCACGCGACCCAGACAATACGAACCCAGTACTTCGCTCTGGTTTTCTACAGATATGGTGGTTCCCACCCTGGCCTTTGTTGGCCACCCAAGCTCCCCCTCTCTTTGTTAGCTTGTAGGCTTATAAGCCCACGTCCTCTCCCTCTGAAATGGTCGGAATCCCACAACCACTTCCTTCTGTGAGCTTCATTTTGCACCTTGTAAATCAGACCTCAGCCTCATCTGTCCCGCGAGTTCCAACTCTCAACAGTGGTCGAAGTCGAAGAAGGTCACAGTAGGCGAGATAATTACCCGCGGGTATCCAGACGGGTTGGACCCATATGCATTCGAGCGGCAGAAACGGGTTAGGGTCGTTTTTATGGAACTGGTTGGGCTCAAAGAGCATTTAGCAGAGAACCAGGAACGATTCAGCGCCCTGCTGATGATATAGGCCATGGCTCAAGAGCCAGAGATTTTTCGCTCAGTTCAAAATCATATTGTCCCTGATGTTAGGACCCAGCCTCAGTCTCTACCCTTTGTCATTTGAGCCGAATGATGCTGGCCTGCAACATATCTAGCTGCCCTGATAGGCGCATCCCCTCGATCAGCTCTCCGTTCATCCAGTGGTGCACGTACGCCTCGCCAACCAGCCGGAAAACTGTCGGCTCCCCTTCTGCAACCTCCACCTGCCGGATAACGTGCAAAACGTCCGACCCCAAAAACAGCACGAGAGAGTCTCCTAGCTGCGAATTTCCAGGACACAGACCAAATTCGCGTCCTGGTTGTCCTTGTCTTGTCGTCTCACAGACAAACAGCCTGCGCCCGTGGCACACCATGCTCTCTCGCCCCTCCGCGTTGATCTCCCATGGATGGCTAAAGTGCCCCGGCTTCTCCCTCTTGTACATGTACAGCGTTGGTTTGGCATTCGGCGGCGGATCTAGCAGTTTCTTCGTCCCCTCGTCAGACCCAGAAGCCATCAGCGTCCCAACAAACCTCTGATACACCTCCCCAACCTTCTCCGGCAGTCTATCCAGCACCTCCTGCAACCTCCTATTCGCCTCCTCATTTGTGATTCTCTTTGCCATCCGCAACGCCGTTAAGACCTGATTCAACTTCTCAACTCCCCCCAACCCCAGCATCTCTGCCCACCTTCTCCTCGTCATCAGTCTTTCCGTCTTCTCCCCATCCTGAGTAAACACCTCCCCAACCCGCACCACCTTCCCAACAACCATCCCTACCAACCTCAACTCCTCTCCCCTTCACCATCACCCCAATCACCTTCCTCTTTCCACCCGCACAGAACCTCACCCCCCGCCTCCTCCACCTCCAACTCTTTCAACCCCGCCCCTTTCAACGACCCCCCATCATGCCCATACCAAAGCGGCAACCAACTCCGGCCAGTCCCCAGCACCTCCTTCCCTCTCCATCACCTTTCCAACGCCACCACCAACCCCCTCGCCTCTCCCAAAACCCCAACCCCCTCGGCCTCCAAATGCTTCTCCACCATCCCCAATACACATCCAACACCGTCACCTCCTCCCATACCCCACCTCGGGCAAACACCTAATCTGCTCCACGCCCTCCGCCACCCCCAACAGCGCATACACCTTATCCCGCGGATCCGTCGCGTCAAACGCGCGGAAGCGCGAGATGAGGGTGTACAAAGGCCAGGGGTGCGGTAGGCGCGGAGATGTTGGCGAGGGGGATTTAGGGAAAGGTTCGGGATGAGGGCCGTGTTGGGGGTTTTGCGGAAGGGACAAAAGGGGAGTAGATGGGGATTGATTGGGAGCTGACGAGGGAGATGAGGCGGGCGATGGTTGTTGAGGGGGTAAGGGAATGCAGGGGCCCGCGGGGGTGGTGTGCAGGAGGTGGGTGAGGTAGGAGGGTTGGTAAGGTCCGGGGATGGTGAGAAAGGGGAGGAGGAGGGGTGGGTGGTGTAGAAGTGGAAGTAGCGCAGGTCGGAGGTTATCAGGCCCCAGTGTTGGGGTGTGGGGTGGAGGGGAAGCTGGGGAGGTGGTTGGGAAGCGAGGTAGGCGGTGATTTTGGGCTCGGCGATTTCTCTGACTTTTTGGTGGAGGCGGCGCTGGGAGACGAGGTAGCCGATGCTGCGAATGCTGTGGACGGCTTGAAGAAGATGGCGGAGGGGTTTCTGCTCCATGTAGAACCGCGACATGGCTGGGTCGTGGTATTGAAGGCAGTCTGGGGCGGCAAATGACGCGATGAGTTCGGCGTAGTCAATGATCAAGACGGCGCCGTAGAAGAGGTCCATCCAACTAAACTGGTGGCGGCCGCATTGGACCGTGGCCCCTCTACCCATGACTACCTCCTGGATGATCCAGATGCGGGAGAACCAGGGCCGGTTAATGAGGGAGCTGAAGTCGAGCCAGATGCTGTCAACGAGGCCAAATGGGGTTACAGTTTCGAGCCAGTCGGCGAGTTTCTCTCGGATAGCAGAGGCCTTGATGTCGTTCTGCCTGCTCTGTGTTTCGATCAATGCCAGACTCCTCGCAGCGAGTTCCCCTATGAACGCGATGGCTCGCTTGTCGGCAGCACCATTGTCCTCGCCAATCCAAGCAATAACGTCCGCCGCGCTGTCGAAGATGTGCTGCATAATGCCGACTTGTGCCTCTCGTTCTGCGTTGTCGTCCTGGTTGATGCATATCGCATCGACCCAGAGGCGCCTTGCATTGCCCCGCAACCGAAGGCGACGGAGGGCAAGGTACAGGTTCTCTCGCACGTTAAAAATGCAGCCATTGACGACGACCGAGCGATGCGGATCTGGAGGGCCCCATGCATATGAGAGGCAGGTGTAGGGCTCAGGGTTGTCGAGGGTTGTCGTCTCGAGTTCTAACTTGATGGCATCATTTCTGGCCCCTGGTTTTAGGTTCAACAGACGGATCTGTTTCTGGTCGCGGTCCAACGAAGTGTAGTCGAGTCGCTGAAGGGTCGTCATGGCTGTCGAGAATCGGTTCTCCCAGTCCGGAATCAGCGTGACAGATCAGAGCAAGGAGCCACTTGGCAAAATCGAAGTGTTGAGATAGCAGGTTGGTGTGTTCTGTGAAGCGGTGACTGCAGATGGTGGACTGCTGAGCGAGACTTGGGCAAATGCCGAAAGCTGGCGGGCAGCTTGACAACCACGAGCCGTGGACGGTAGGGTTTGGAACCCAAGTCTGTCGCAGAGAGTCTCTGGGGGGGGGTGACGTGACTGCTTCAGAGTACGAAGTAAATTCCAACGTGAACGGTCCAAACTTGAGCTGGACTGGAGTGAGGGGTTGCCGCCAGCATTCAGCCTTGCCGTGCGCGTGGCAC